GCTAAACGTAAATTGGCTAAGTCTGTTGTTAAGAAGGAGCCAGTTACTGTTGCTATTCTTGAGAGGTTGTACGATTCAAGAATTGTAAATGTATCTTTGTCTGATTTGAGAACACTAGCAATGTGCTTGTTGGCTTATGCTGGATTCTTAAGATCTTCTGAACTGATTAATATTTCTCGTTCGGATATAATATTTTATGATTCTCACATGACAGTTTTTATTGAAAAGTCTAAAACAGATGTATATAGAGACGGAGCCTGGCTCGTTATCAGTAGAACTCAATCGAAATTGTGTCCAGTTGAATGTTTGAAACAGTATCTAAAACTTGCAGGTATTCTGATCAGTATGTTTTCAGAAACCTCAGCAAATGTGCGTCTGGTTATGTGTTAAGAAAAGGCAACAATCCTATGTCTTACACTAGACTGAGGGAACTTAGATGCATTGTCTCCCTTTGTAACGAACATTAAAAGTTATTGTCTACACAGTCTACCTAGTGGTGGTGCTACAGCAGCAGCGAACAGCGGCATACCAGACCATATGTTTAAAAGACATGGAGGATGGAAAAGTGAGAATGCTAAGGACGGATATATTAAGGATAGTATTAACAACAGAATGAAAGTTTACCTTTCTCTTTGTCTTTGTCTTTCTTTGTAGCTCTCGGCCGTGCAACGCACAGCGTGTTCCATTCTTAAGTGTGTTGTTGTAATGTTGCGTAACTGTTGGGCATAGGAGAAATATTATTTCTTTCGTTTGAAGGATGAATTAGAAGGAAATTGCTTTCCCCTTGCGGTGTGTAGAGTTAGTGTAAGTGAGTAGTCCGCCCCGCTAGGTGGCGTTAAACTGGGGTACTTAAGGAGTGTGAAGATTTGAATTGTTCATTCTCGTTCTAAGTGCAAGCACGGCCATTAGATTATTTCTGTTTCTTTATGTGAAAAGTATTGCATTTTCAACGTTTTAATCTGTTGTCTGTATGTTTCAGATTTGTGACAGTGGGGACAGATTCAGATTTGTTATATTTTCGGGCGTATTGTTGTCGCCAGGCTGCAGAGCCATTATAATACAATGTAAGCTGCTGTAAGCGTAGTAAAACGACGATGTGATGTTGCTCTGGGCTGAAGAGCCACTATAATACTAATGTAAGCTGCTGTATGTGCAGTCGTACGATGTGATGTTGCTCTGGGCTGAAGAGCCACTATAATACTAATGTAAGCTGCTGTATGTGCAGTCGTAGATGTGATGTTGCTCTGGGCTGAAGAGCCACTATAATACTAATGTAAGCTGCTGTATGTGCAGTCGTACGATGTGATGTTGCACTGGGCTGAAGAGCCACTATAATACTAATGTAAGCTGCTGTATGTACAGTCGTACGACGTGATGTTGCTCTGGGCTGAAGAGCCAATATAATACTAATGTAAGCTGATGTTGTGCTTTCATAGGATGATGTTCTGGGCTGAAGAACCGTTATAATACAGGGAGTAAATATGCCTTAATACAGTATATGCAGTGTTTGTGTATATTGTTGTCAGTAAAATATGCTTATGTTCATAGGCTAGCAGCCATTATAATACACTATGATGTGATTAAGTGATACAGAAGTATTATATACTTGTCAAAGTATATATGTGTCGGTGCCATTGTGTTTTCTGTGTACGTGTGGATAACCGAAGCAATTTTTTACACAATATTTCAATGTACATATGTAGCTAATGAATATATCAGGTTTAAGTGTTCATGTACATCTGCAGTAGATCACATGCATACTGTAAACCCTCCGGTAGTTGCTGTTTGCAGTCGATGAGGGAACACGGTTCCAGAGTATTTTCTCTAAAGGAGATGTTTACCTCTGGTTTTACGTGTCGGGCAACAGCAAGTTAATTGTGATCAAATAGTGTATGTTTCAATGTATGTAAGATCTGAGGTATGCAACATCAAAATGTATGTATGTTTAGGCAATTGCGGAAATAAATCTCGGCCCTGCAACGCACAGCGTAATCCATTCTTAAGTGTGTTGTTGTAATGTTGTGTAACTGTTGGGCATAGGAGAATAGATAATCTTTAACTCCTTTGTAAAGAGGCCTCGGTATGGACACGTATGACTTCTGTACAGGTACATCATCAGTGAGTTGAATGTCCATTTTTAAATCAGTTATTGTCCTAATATCATCATCTGTCTTACTGAAGACATCTGACTCTTCATATAACACCTGATTGATCATTTCCTGTTGTTCCTCACATAAATCATTACTTAAGTCGACTGGGGGATGCCAGTGTTCTTGTATGCTTGTGGTGTCTGATGTCTTTATCTGATATCAGGATATCATCTAAATTCCAGTCAGGATCTGGGTCGTTCTCACCTTGTAATGGTATGAGAGATCTCACTTGCTGCAGCGTACCAAGACATGTCCTGCTGTGAACTTTAATGTCATGACTAGTACAGTTCATTATGTAACGGGATGTTTGTTTTTGGTGCCTCTCTTCAACCTAAGAAGTGATCCCTGAATCTTCAGTCCATCAGGCCAACATAAAAGTCAACAAAGACTCTATATTCTGGATGACATGGACAGCTTCCACTTCATCTACCAGCACTCTTTCCAGACGTATTTTCTTCACGATGACTCGTTTGTTTGCTTTCACGGCATCTTGAAATTTAATTTTGGTATCTTGAACACACTGAGCGCGGTCTTGAAACCACTGGGATGACTGCACAATGACTGTTTCTTTGAGTTGGTCAACTTTACGCAACACACGTGTAAAAGGTGGCCTTTTCACCATTTGCCAAAGTGGCCATGACAGGTTTGATTTGCAATCCAAACCTTTGGCGACAATCAAGCAAGACGACGAGAAATCGAATGACCTATCCAACAAATTACCTATGCGTCTAACTGTCAATTCATATACATTGGCTATATGGACAATGTTGATGGTTTATCTCAAGAAAGTAGCTTCCTTCGTGTGTACGTTCTTTTGTTTCACAACACCGACCATTTTAATGTAGGGACAGTCGGGGGACCACTTTTCATGTTCTACCCATGGGTCGACAGTGGCTTCCCATCCTTTCAGACGAATGTCACATTTAAAACAACAGCAGCTATCAGCACGATTCAAGTAGACGAATCCAGCCATATCTTCCGACGACTGGTTCATTTGTCTCGACCAATCTTTAAACGAGGATAGTCTTCTTTCAAAATAACTCCAGTCCTGTAATACAGGCGACTTACCGGCCACAGAATCCGTACAGATATCACCCATCATCATCATTATCATCATCTTCCTTGCTCGTGTAATGTTAGCTTGTGACTAAGCGATACTAAACAATGTCAATCCATTTAAACACATGAGCAAACAGGACTCCATTGAACCCCGTCATCTCTCCATTGTTCAGTCTGCTTGTTTAGAGGATTTCATTTTTCTTTTCATAGTTTTATACATCTTTCACTACTAAGGTGTTTACATAAAAATTATGCGATTATTTAAATTACGTTAATATGTTATTTTCTTCAAATAAACCCTAATCCAACAATAATACACGTACCTGTAGTCCATTACATAGTGAAGTACTAATATTTGTTAGCTTTCAATTTCATAACGTTGAGTCATCGACGTCAAAGGGTGCAGTTTGGAAATAATGTGGGTTAAACATTTGTGACCAACACTTCCGCACAAAGGAAACAACTCAATTCCTTAATAAATCTGTTCAGCTCGTCTCGAACATCATAGTTAAAACTCAACTATTTCACTGGGCAAAAGTTTATTTTCTGTTGTGTTACAAATGCAATGTACAGCCTAGAAACGCCAATAAAGAAAACAGTTATCCAAATACAGTAAGTGATAAATACAAATCATTATGTGTGGTCTTTTGGCCGGTTGAGAGTTTGTCCTTCAACCTTATCCATTGAAGACAGGAGAATGTGTACATCCAAAGAGTTATATTGAAAAACAAGATACAGCACAGTATTAACAAAATGACATCAAAACGTCCTTGGTTAAGAAAGGATGTCTCTGGCATCGGTGCGTCTCTCTTTATCCTATTTTTAATCCCCAAAAAGTATTTTCATACATTTCCTTCCTGACATGAAGCAGTTTCTGTTATCTTTGCTTGACAATTGATGTTGTATTAAAGAGCCGAGTTCAGAGTGTGTTCAGTTGTGCTCGTTGGTATCCATGGTGGGAAAAAATTAAGAAGTGTTCACCCCTAATATTTTTGTTTTCAATAAAAGAAAGAAAAAAAATAACACCACCTGCTCGCTTTTGAGAACAATGTGCACGAGATACATGTCTTTGTTAATACATCCTTTTTACATAGAATAACTAGTCCAGACACAGACAAATTACCAGTATATGAACAATTTGAGTCACAAGAACATATTTGTCATAATCAACATATATAATTTGGGTAAGTTATATTTTCAAACACATACTGAATACAAAGAAACAACATATATAATATACTATTAAGCAACATATTGAAGGAGATTCGTATTGACTAACTAAAAGAATTAGTAACAAAAAGAGCATGTGACGTCATCCATTGTGTCATGGTGTGATCACATTCCATGTTGACGTCATTGCATTTAAGAGAGACGCCATTTCTAAACTGTGTTCATGTAGAGAGAGTGTGCTTCAGGAAGCTAGTTATCACTTTTGTATCTAACAGTTAGTGAGTGAGTAAAAGCTTTACGTCACATCGGCAATATTTCAGCCATATCGTGACTTGTATCTAACAACATCAGTAACACTGGTGTATATAATTGAGGGTATTATTGAGTATTTGATGCAAGGACAAATGAACCATTCGGAATGTATTTGAAAAAATAATACAGCATAGTATTCAATAATGACACGTGCTAATTATTACTAACTGTGACCAAAAGCACATAATATTAAAAGCAAAATAAACAGTTTGAGTAACAAGTTTATATTTGTCATATTCTACATATTCTACATGTATAAAATGGGTTACATAAAAAATCTAAACCAAAGCGTCGGAGTTTTAACTTGTGTTGATATATTTGATATCAAAAGACACGCGGGTGAGATTATTCTTATCATCCTGAATCAATCTTCTAGCCTTTTGCCAATGCAAACAGTACTAACCAGTGTCTTGAGTGTATAAACTACAGCTAACCAGCTTCTGTGGTAGATTAGTGAAGGCATTGTACCGATGACGTCACAATGGTATGCAAAGCATTGTGATGCAGTTCCATTGTAACGATATCTCATAACACATACTCAAGCAATATTTCCTGTGGAAGCCATTATTGGATGATAAATTGTCATAGCACACAGAATACAAACTGCAGAAAGCCATAATAATTTACTTCAGAGGCTATGTGACAACACGTTGCAATAGATAAATTGGGTGTGACAAACATCCGATCCGTGTTATTTATCATCTGTTTGGTTTAGAAGAATAGAATAGCTGTACACTGAATATGTTGTCTAACGGTAGATAGCTACAGGTCCAACTCATCTGCTCCTGGTTTGTCTTGTGGCATGTTCTTTCTCAGCATTGTTTCTACTAAACTGTGCCCCGTTGGACCTGAATTATCTGTGCAGAATAACAATAAATTGGTAATTATCATAAAAAGATAAAAAAGAAAATAATTCACAAAAGAGAAGCTGCACCACACTGTCCACCTCACAGTCCACCTCAAAGTCCACCCCGGAGTCCACTTCACAGTCCACTTCACAGTCCACCCCCCAGTCCACCCCACATTCCACTTCACAGTCAACCCCACAGTCCACTTCACAGTCCACTTCACAGTCTTGATCTTGTCTTACTACCCATGATCTTGTGGCTTCTACACCTAGCTGTACAGCTCAGACACCTCACCTTTAAAAACAAAGTCACTTTTAATGGTTTTATTTTATTTCATGTGCCCACGCATTGAGAATTGTCAAACAATATTTTATGACGAGTAAAGGCAGGATGTCTCATAAATATGGACCCTCCTTCAGCTCATGTAAATTTAACGTAAATGATTCAGTATCAATCAGTGAAGTATTTCGTTTGCTCAGCTATGGAAGACATCAAAGCTCCGACGGCCCATGAAGACCCGGGTAGAGAATAGGTCTATAGCAACCCATGCTTGCCGTTAAAGGTGACTTGGTTGATGCATGTCATCGTATCCTAATTGCGTGGATCGATGCTCGTGATGCCTATCACTGATTGCCTGGCCAAGACTCGATTATTTACAGACCGTCGTCATATAGCTGGAATATTGCTGAGTGCTGCGTTAAGCCACAAACAAACAAACAAACAAACAAAGCTCGGGGACATCGGGACTCGATGCCGCGAATACCTACAATATGAGAACACAGGTGTGCTCGTCTTCAGTTTGATTGTTGTTCGCAAAGTTTATTCCATTTTATCATGGCGGGCGGTATATGGTTCAAGTCTTGACAACCTGATGCATTAAGTCGCTTCTTATGACAAGCAGGGTTCCAGGGGACCTGTTGTAGCCAGGACTCCCCACGTCCTGATGGAAGTTACAACATAGGAAAATACTATTCACTAAAACGATCAACTGACTCGATCATTTCGGTTGCCCATATTTATATGTTCACACGATTGTCTATCTCATTATCATAAAGCCAGGAGGTACTGTAGCCTAGCCAAACGATTTCGAATCTTTATATGGGTGCGATATATGCATTCCTACCCCGGGATCCCCATCCGTGGTATTGCTGGAACATTGCTAATCTCAGCGTAAAACGCTATCACACAATCACTCGACAACATTATCTGACTTACCTCCCTTGTCTGTCGACTGGAGTGACTCTGCCCGATCCTCTCACTTGGGCTGTTTCTGTACCACGCTGTACACATCACATTCAGCAGCCCCATCTTCAAGAAACAATGGTAATCTAACTTTTAGTTAGGAAACAAACGACGAGTGGGGGTTGTTTATCGTACAATAAAACACTGCAGGGAGAATAAACCATGATGGGCGCAGCTCCGAGTGATTTATTCTCCCTGCAGTGTTTACTGTACGATAAAGAACGTCTATGAGACGTTTATTTCTTATATGAGACATCAACATCATGTACAGCCTCTTAAGGATGATGATGAAATGTACAAGCTTTCAAAATATTAACCCGTATTTTAATAATGATGACTCCCTCAACAGAATCAATGAAAGTCCATTTTATGCACAGGTGGGTATTTCCCGCAAATTCTCACAATCCTCACGTCGATTGCCTGTACCTTTTCTCCCAATGACGATTGTAATATCTCACCCACTTTTGGATGCGATCGTTCGGCTATCGCGTTTATCTTAGTAGCCGAGCTACATCTATGGGGAACAATTCACTAGACACTCCCTTCTCAAAAATAACGTCGTCCAATATACGTCATCAAGTTGTGAGCGCATGTTCGAATCTCCAGAAATGACGTCATGATAGTACAATGTTAATGAAATAAACCACACTTCGCTCTTCATTGTTCTTTGCTATATATCGCGTGGCTATCTTATATTTCCCATAACATCCTACTTCAAAAAGACATTTTGCACATGTACATAATCGCAAAGCCAATTGGAAGGTACGGTAGCTCAGTGAATCGAATTCGAATACCCATATGGATGCACTGTATGAATTCCCCGCCGTAATATTGCTGGAATATTGCTAAAAGTACAACCACACTCTATCACTCCCTCGGCAATACTAATCTGACCTACCATCTTTGTCCGTCGGTTGGTGTGACATTCCCTGGCCTTCCGTTTTGGGTTGTTTCTGTACGACGCTGTACACATCACAGGCAACGGCCTCCGCTTCAAGAAACAATGGTAATCTAACTTTTTAGTTACCAACAACATCCTACTTCAAAAAGTTAGTATGTACATGTACACATATGTGTATAATTTGGTTACTGATGTTCAATGCATAAATAACTATTACAACCATAGTCCAAGAACGTTTATCAAAGACACAATGACTCATTAATGAAACTTTAATTAATTAAAAACGCAGATTGAACATAGTATTTCTGTTTTTCAATCACTGGATTGTCTGGTCCAGATTCGATGATTTACAGACCGCCGTCAAATATTTGGAGTGTGATAGGCTACTAACCTTCACACTTCTTTGTACTCGGTACATATATAGACTTTTGTAAGAACAATGATTGATCGTTGTTTAACGCCACACACAACAATATGCAAGCTCTCTCTCGGCGGAGTGTAAATAATCAAGTTTTGACCAGATAATCCAGTGATTGATATCATGAGCATCGATGCACGTAATTGGGACACGATGACATGCACCAACTAAGTCAGCAAGCCTGACTACTCGATCCAATTAGTCCCCTCTTATGACAAGCATAGTCACCTTTAATGGCAAGCATGGGTTACTGAAGACCTATTCTACCACCGATCTTCACGGGTGGAGTACTAAGTAAGGACATATATGGATAACAAACTTAGTGTTTAACCTACACCGAAACGTTGCTCCTAATTGTAGAACAGAAGTTGTCCATATATGCAATTTTCCTGCACATTTATCTTTGTTCTGAGACATAATATTTTTTCGGACACTGCTTCAAGACATGATATCCACAAAGGAGGATCCAAAGACATGATTTCCACAAAGGAGGACCCTAAGACATGATATCCACAAATAAGCAACCTAAGACGTGATATCGAGAAAGGAGGACCCTAAGACATGATTAACACAAAGGAGGAACCTAAGACATGATATCCACAAAGGAGGATTCTGAGACATGATATCCACAAAGGAGGTTTCTGAGAGATGATATCCACAAAGAAGGACCCTAAGACATGATATCCACAAAGGAGGACCCAAATACATGATATCCACAAAGGAGGAACCTAAGACATGATATCCACAAAGGAGGAACCTAAGACGTGATCAACTCAAAGGAAGAACCTAAGACATGATATCCACAAAGGAGGACCCTAAGACATGATATCCACAAAGGAGGAACCTAAGACTTTATATCCACAAAGGAGGATTCTGAGACATGATATCCACAAAGAAGGATCCTAAGACGTGATATCCACAAAGGATGATCCTAAGACATGATTAACACAAAGGAGGATCCCAAGGCGTGATATCGACAAAGGGCATGTTCGAATCTCCAGAAATGACGTTGTGATAGCTATCTTATATTTCCAATAACATCCTACTTCAAAAAGACATTTTGCACATGTACATAATGGCAAAGCCAGATGGAAGGTATGGTAGCTCAGTGAATCGAATTCGAATATCCATATGGATGCACTGTATGAATTCCCCGCCGTAATATTGCTGGAATATTGCTAAAAGTACAACCACACTCTATCACTCCCTCGGCAATACTAATCTGACCTACCATCTTTGTCCGTCGGTTGGTGTGACATTCCCTGGCCTTCCGACTTGGGTTGTTTCTGTACGACGCTGTACACATCACAGGCAACGGCCTCCGCTTCAAGAAACAATGGTAATCTAACTTTTTAGTTACCAACAACATCCTACTTCAAAAAGTTAGTATGTACATGTACACATATGTGTATAATTTGGTTACTGATGTTCAATGCATAAATAACTATTACAACCATAGTCCAAGAACGTATATCAAAGACACAATGACTCATTAATGAAACTTTAATTAATTAAAAACGCAGATTGAACATAGTATTTCTGTTTTTCAATCACTGGATTGTGTGGTCCAGATTCGATGATTTACAGACCGCCGTCAAATATTTGGAGTGTGAAAGGCTACTAACCTTCACATTTCTTTGTACTCGGTACATATATAGACTTTTGTAAGAACAATGATTGATCGTTGTTTAACGCCACACACAACAATATTCCAGCTATATGTCGGCGGAGTGTAATTAATCTGGTTTTGACCAGACAATCCAGTGATTGATATCATGAGCATCGATGCACGTAATTGGGACACGATGAATGCACCAACTAAGTCAGCAAGCCTGACTACTCGATCCAATTAGTCCCCTCTTATGACAAGCATAGTCACCTTTAATGGCAAGCATGGGTTACTGAAGACCTATTCTACCACCGATCTTCACGGGTGGAGTACTAAGTAAGGACATATATGGATAACAAACTTAGTGTTTAACCTACACCGAAACGTTGCTCCTAATTGTAGAACAGAAGTTGTCCATATATGCAATTTTCCTGCACATTTATCTTTTTTGTGAGACAATATTTTTTCGGACACTGCCTCAAGACATGATGTCCACAAAGGAGGATCCAAAGACGTGATAAACACAAAGGAGGATTCTTAGACGTGATATCCACAAATAAGGATCCTAAGACATGATATCGAGAAAGGAGGATCCTAAGACATGATATCTACAAAGAAGGATCCTCAGACGTGATATCCACAAAGGAGGATCCTAAGACATGATACCCACAAAGGAGGATCCCAAGACATGATACCCACAAAGGAGGATCCTAAGACAGGATATCCACAAAGAAGGATCCCAAGACATGATATCCACAAAGGAGGGACCCTAAGACATGATATCCACAAAATCGGATCCTAAGACGTGATATCGACAAAGGAGGAGCCTAAGACATGATATCTACAAAGAAGGATCCTCAGACGTGATATCCACAAAGGAGGATCCTAAGACATGATATCGAGAAAGGAGGATCCTAAGACATGATATCTACAAAGAAGGATCCTCAGACGTGATATCCACAAAGGAGGATCCTAAGACATGATACCCACAAAGGAGGATCCCAAGACATGATACCCACAAAGGAGGATCCTAAGACAGGATATCCACAAAGAAGGATCCCAAGACATGATATCCACAAAGGAGGGACCCTAAGACATGATATCCACAAAATCGGATCCTAAGA